GAACATATCTTTGACGCTGAGTCTACTTTAACACAATCTCTTATTCAGCAGTGGCATTCGGCTTTTTCTTTTTTATGTGTAATCAAAACTGTAGAGAGATCATTCTTGTGTCCCACTCATTTATTTGTCAAAAAATTATTATCACGCAATCGTTTAGGAATGACAAGACCACTTGTTCTAGCTATAAAAGGCAAGGCACTTACCTTGCTTTTTCCACCTTGGTCGGGATCCGTTGCTTTGAAAGTATCTAAACTTTTACCAATTTCTGCGTTTTCTGGCACACTGACTTCGATATTGGGTCTTTCAAAAACTGGCTTATTATCATTGATATCCCGTAATTTCACAACTACCCATGAATAAGCCACGTGGTACTTGTCGTTGTCGTTGTCTTCACCCTTGTCGTTCACCTGGATGCGGAATCGGAATCCGTTGCTCTGAAGAAGGTCTTCATAGTCCAGGGGCTGGACTATTTTTAAGGAGCCGGTACCGTCGTTGTTCCGTACCATTGTAAATTTGTCTGCACCGTAGCCGCTGCTTTCAAGTACCTGCAGATAATTGAGTCAGTATAATAATAAAATACGTAAAAATGGATACAAGTCCAAAAAGGAGTTAGATGTAAGACTTGTAACTGTACACAAATGTTTTGTCCCAAGTATTCTCCACAGTGTTCGTGTTTCTTTAAAAATAGTGAAAAATTAAAAGTGATAACTTTGAATTTTGTAATGAATCAGTTGGTTGCTTTAAGAAGATCTATCGCAAGTAAAGAGCTGCCGTTTGAAATTTTAGACTTGGGGTGGCTAGAGGATAGAGGGTTGATGGCGGTAGTTTACTTTAGGTATTAAAAAACGCCATTTACCTGGATTCGTCAATTCCATGCAAAATATGTTACCGAAATATAAACATTTTTGTTTCCATATATGTAGAAACTTAAGTGAGTATACAAAAAATTTGATGCTACATTTTGACGTATGCAGTTCCACAAAACTGGGACATTGGAAGAAATAATGGATATACTAGGAAAATAGCGAACAATTATCCTACCTTGTATTGGAACTTATTAGTTTCGTCTTCATCATGCACAGTTACGGTAAGAATAGGCATTTCCGGCAGTGCGCTACCATCAGTTTCGTCTACTTCAGTTAACCACTCATCTTTTGTGAACGCGGGAGGCATATCGTTTATATCTTTAACACGAATACTAGCAGTCCCAGTTCCTTTTAAACCACCACCGTCCATCGCAACCACCTGGATGGAATAATCGGGCGTACGTTCACGATCTAAACAACATACGGCCGTCTTAATCACTCCCGTTTCCGATTCGATTTCAAAGATAGGAGACCCGGTCTCTTCCTCGATGACGTTCTTTTCGATGGAGTAGACCAATCTTGCATTTGTGCCTGCAACAATAATCATTCATTAGTCATTTTGTTATTCCTTCAGCTGAAACACAATAGTTTCAAATATTTGAACATGTATTTCTTAGTTTCAATTTCTTCTTATGAAACATAACTTAACAAAAGTAAGAACCAGTTGCTAAAAGGGCCTTTAAGGCCTACTCGTCGGACCCATCGGGTTTCCCCACAATACTACTGCTACTAAGATACAGTTGCACCATGAGTTTGCCTTGAAATCAATTTTATATACTGCATGGAAGATAGTCTGGTAGTTGGATTTCCAAAATGGCGCTATCCTGATGATGCTGGGTTGAAACCTACATCAATATTAAAGAGAAGATAACAGTTCAACCATTTCCAAAAATTTCACCAAGAAGACACTGAAAATGTTTTGTTGAAAGGTCATTGAAAGATAAATTAATTAGGAAATAGTTTATTAACCTTTACTCGATATGCGATAATTAATATCAGCAGGGATTTGAAACTGGCAAAAGTCTTTCAAAAATGTTTCAATGCGCAAGAGAAGCCAAAGCAATGGATAAATTATAATTTAATCGCGAACAACATTAGCCAACGGTGAACCAACCTCCAAAAGACTCAAATTTAGCATGTGGTTTTTCTTTAATATTATCACCCCAGATTTTCTGATTACGATTTTAGGTATGGTTAAAAAACGAATTTTAAAATGTGTTAAAGTAAATATAAAAATTGAAATATAAGTAATAAAACCAGGTGCGTTTTATTTTATTTTTTGATATACAGGATGACAATACAACTAAATTTGACACAACCTTAAAAAACTAATTCTCATCTCGATACTCGGATATAGTTTATAAAGCAAACTCATTTTGTCTTTCGATTCTTTATCCCTCCCGGAAGTGCTGCTTTAGAAACGGGTTCATCCGGTATATGCTCAAGGAAAAATTTCGATTTAAAATGTAGATTCTGCCTCACCAAATTAATATTAATAAATCTTCTTCTATCCAACTAAACGTTAATATTTGTAACATAATATCATAAACGGCACCATTTGTGTAACATACTGCTCTAATTTGAATATGAAATAACTGAATTGTACGAATTAGCTGAGAACGATGATTATGAATTATTCAAATTATAATATTGCAACGTAAATGCATATTTATCAACAATCAATAATTAATTCATATATAGCACAATTGCATTCATATTTGGATTTTAGTTTAGAGAAATAACTACTAAACCAAACACCTTAATTAGATAAATATTACTGTACGTAAATTGCCCCTTGTTCATAAAAATACTTTTTTCGCATTTCAAAGCTTTGTCCAGTAATAAAGACATGAACGAATATGTGAAAATATTTTCTCGAAATTCTTCCCATGAAAATGTAAAGATCGCTACGAAGAAAAAGCAGTTTCAATAGTCTAACAGGATATTGGAAACCGTTTTATTAGGAATGCTAACCCTATTTTCTCACAAAGTTGCATAAAGGAACGGAAAACGTATTTACACGCTGAACGCCGAAAGAAATTAAGACCAAACGAAACTGCTGATTGAATGAAAGCCCCATCGGCGTCGGGCTCGTGTGAAAATTAAAGACGTTTGACCTTATCTACTATTTCCTTTCATGTAGAATTTCCAAAAAACTAAGATTTTTCGGATTAAATTCTTAATTTCCTAAATTGTTCGTTCTTAACATTTTCCACAAATACCTTTAACATTTTTTTTGTTTTTTTGATTCTGAGCTCTTGCTATGATTTATTTGTTGGACAGAAATGCTTTCATTAAGATTATGTCGATGCCAATTAAACATACAAATCCGATTAATTTTGAATGCAAGTCCAAATCAATAGAACCGTATATTCCCGAAATGATGTGAATTTACTAAATAATATGGTTCAATTGCAACAAGTACAGAGTTCAATATAATTATTTTCGGATTAATATTAGAGTTAATCGGATCTACATCGATGTATATGAGGGTACTACGGCCTCTTGAAACTTAAGGATAAATTCACTGAACTATTTGCTCTGGAGAACGTTGAAGAGTTAACACATTATAACTAAAGTTTGATACAAAACGTGCTTATAGAAATAAATAACTTGTATATGTGTGTAGATAGTTGTTTAAAAAGTTGATTTAAATTTCATCATATAGTCATTAGGCGGATAATGAATGTAAACTATATAATAATAAAAACATCCAACATAATCGAGAGAGGCCGTGAAAGGCAGTATGATTATTTTCAATATTTACAAAACAGAAAACAATTAAGAATAGTTTGAACTAGATGCCTTGAAGGATCGTAGATTGTTACTCCATCATGCGATCTTTACGATACATATTACCCAATAGATCATCGAAAATATTTTATATTTTCTTTGCCTACTTCGAGATTTGCCATTGGAATTACTTCCCTTTATTATGTTTATCAATGTGTGCCCATTTGACATTAAAGCGTTCTGCGGAATGCTTCGCCTGGGCAGTTTCTGCTTGCAGGGGTAAATACTGCGCCTTTTACACTTTGTATCTAAACTAAAATTCAATCGAAAATCCAACACACCATATATCACCATCGCTTGTAATTGATTTAGTTCCCGAAAAACAATGCCGAATGCAGGTGCATTTGTCATTCTTTATCTCTATTATCAAACGGTTTCTCAAAGTAAAAAGCACGTGTAAGTTTTGTCTGATATCTTGCCGATCACGCGTTTAGCAATTATAGAACAACTTCAGTCTATCTTGCAAAGTTGCAGTCTAACTTTTCCACCTTCTCTAATACGAGCACGTTTCACTCACATACTTGACAGCATAACATTTTGTTTCTACACCTCTATGTAAGGCTGCTTTGCTCACATAAGGGAAAATGTTGAACAGCTCAAAAATCTTACTGTCCTGTATTTACGTTTGGACGCATAGGGACTAACAGTCCTTCATTCTTATGAGATTTTTATATTTTTTAAACGTTAAAGGTTTATAGAAATGTCTTCTTAAGAAATAAAAGCATATTCTGATCAATATCCCATTACAAGCTTAACTGCGGTTTAGCGGAAATCGTTACCATTTCGGCATGAATGTACTCAATTGGATGGGTAGCGATTTTGATATTAAAGAATGTACTCCAGTAATCCGTCAAGCTGAGTTGTTCGTAAGTCATCTGTTTAATTACCAAACAAAATTCGACGTTAATTAAACAATAATCGCATAAATCAGAAAGTACGATAACTTTGACCATAGCAAACACCGTAACAAACTTATTTTTCAATAAACCATCAAAAAATCTTAATCCTATTTGAACGTCTCCAATTTTACACTGCTTACTCATTTTGGGCATTCTTGTTAGGATGGTACCGACGAATATCTTGTCTTTATAAATATTAAAGTTGAAAAAGATTGACCTGTAGGTAATCGACAGTTGAATTCTTTAAAAGCAACTGGGCGGAAGTGTCTTGATTAGTTAGTTAATGCTGATTGATTAAATATGGAAAGGAAATAAACAAAGCTAAAACTATTTCGTAAATTGCTGAAACCTCTAAATGCTTTCTAGTTATAATTCATTCAGGTTAAATAGATCTTTTCAGCCGCGGGTTATATTATTTCATGTAGGCGATTATGATCTGAAGCTCTCCTGTTTTCACGTCGTTCTAATCCCTTTGTATTCCATTTCTGTTATTTCGATTTTCTTCTTTCCTACTCACTTTGCGTGACAACTCACTATCCGAGTTCTTCTACTGAGAATTCCGTTGCCTAGTTGATCAAACCATCTTAGTTTTTGTATTGGAATTGTTTCCAGTATGTGTACCATTATCACTTCCTCCCTTAATATTTTTCACTCATTTTTTTATAGTAATTTTTGGTGATTCTCTTGCTTCTTTTGAGGTAATTTATTTCCACTGTCTGCATTTATCGTTAAGAGTTTTTGTTCGTGTCTCACTCGCGCTGCCACATTGGAATAACATCACGTTTCGAAATTAATTTTGTAGAACAAAATTACTCATCTGTACTGATAGTTGACACGTTTATTAGAACTGCAAATATTTTCGAGTTATGAAAAGTTCTCATTCATATTTTTCTAAGTAATAATTAAACTAATAAACATGCAATGGTACTTATACTTAATCAATCATTTATTGCCTCTAAACAACTATTCAAATGGGCCACACAAAGCCTATTTTTTATTGTAGCAAATTTTTGAAGAATACTGTTAGCTTGATAGAAACTGGAAATTAAATTTTATGCTGAGAAATTAATAGCAGTTCCTTGGAAGAAAAAATAGGAGGAAAATAAGTAAAGTGACTGCAGAATAATCGATTCTTCTAAATACTATTTTAACTATTTCACACCGATAAAACCAATTTAATTCCAGTATTGGTACGACATAATATGTGTGAACATTTTTTGTTTCGTGTTACATAGTGCATTTGCTTACGGTATTCTTCTATTTAATTTCCGATAAACTGATCATCAGAACAATCTGACTGAACAAGGATTTGCCTATTTGATTAATAACTTTGAACATATTAAAGCTTAATTTCAGAAAATTACCTGTCAGCTTCTTAAAACCGATAAATCATGGACGCGCACATATATCTAAATCTCATGATAATTGTACTTGCGTAACTTATTGCCTTAAATTCAGCCTAGAGATTTAGAAAATCGATGTCAAAAAAATGTAATATAGTCTAATCATTTAATAGCTGATTAATAATGCGGCACTATCCTTCTGAGTATTAAGTACATAAAAAAGTTATGAGAGTTGGGTTTTTATTTGATATTTGACCTACATTCGCTAAAGCTGGGTACAAAATCTCGGGATCTTCCATTTACCTTCAATATTTATTTTGCAGTTCCGGTTTGAAATATCTAAAAAAGTTCCATTCGACTTAGTTTAAAATGTCTCTCACAACCAGTTTTTCTGTTCCGTATATCCAAAAGGGGTTTGAAGAGAATCTCAGTTTCCAATAAAAGGATCACAATACGAATTTTTTTATTCAAATCATATGAGTATGTGTTATGAAAT